AACTTATCACGTTTTTCTTTTGGCGCGGTAGCTTACGCAAAAGGCTCCATTTGGGAGGAGACGACATTGTTTATACAACGCCCAAATGGTCACGGTTTAGGACGGCATGATTGGCTTGGGAAAGGCACATTTACGAACATGATAGCATCAGAAGAAGCCTTTGGGTCGCTTCTTGTACGGCGTTTTGGCGAGAGGAATACTTTTTTTTGGTTTGGGCGGTTTATAATACCCTTGATGAGCTTGCATGTTAGGAAACGACCTACACCTAGGAAAATGGGTCCATTGTAGCATCTATTACATAATACGAACTCTGACACAATGAAAGAAAAAAAATTATATCCACTTGCCCTGTATTTTGATGCGACAGTTCGATCAGGACTAGGGTGCTGCGAGGACGTTCAAGGGCGTGGCAATCTCGAGCTGCAGATAACAGCCATGATGATGTAGCCAGTGGGGACAAGTCGGAACAAGCCGACTCCAGCAAGGCGTTTCGGAATTTGGCCGCCCTTTACATCGAAGCGTCTTCAGACAATATCTAGCACTTCTGTATATAAACGTCTGATGGTTGCCAATTAGAGTTTTTTCCCATCTCGGCCTCTCTGTAGCAGAAATCCAGGGCAATGGGCATTCCGATCAATGGTAAGGGGTTACACGAAAACGTGGCAGGGGCGAAACGCTAGGTGTGGCTAGTGCGTGGCGCATGCGGGTCAGTCTAGAGGACAGATTTCTTGGGATGCGCCAGAGTCAAGACAAGTGCTGTTGCGCCGCCTTATTGCCGTTTCTGCCGTGGACAGTCGCAGAACCTTCCTTTTGATTCCCTTCTTTAGTCCTGTAATCGTGCTTGGAAACACGGTCTCTTCTCTTCCTCTAGCAATCAGCGGCAGAACACTGGGCGCTGATCAAGTCGATAAATAAGTCAGGGACACAGACACACCCATCCGGTACTCTTATAGGTCAGATATTTCTCCGACGAGATACTACATCCCTGTGCAAAAACACCGACGCGCGACAATCGAGCGACAACTGTACGAATCTGCAGTAGGCTGAGAAACGGTCGATTGGTGAAAGAGCCTGGGCATGGAGAATGCTTACACAAAGACGCCCGCTGAGGCGTTGAGACACTTTCAAGTTGATGAGCACAAGGGTCTCAGCGCACAGCAGGTCCAGAGCTCAAGGGAGAAGCACGGCAAGAATGGTACGTGAGACCCGTCGATACGTAGTGCACGCAGAGGACTGGGCTTTGGCCAAATCTCAGGGATGAGTGCTAACGTGCAGAAACAGCGCTGCCAGAAGACCCCCCGACGCCCATTTGGGAGCTCATCCTCGAGCAGTTCAAGGACCAGTTGGTCATCATCTTATTAGGTTCCGCAGCCGTATCCTTTGTACTTGCCCTTTTCGAGGAAGAAGAAGGATGGACTGCCTTTGTAGATCCCGCCGTTGTAAGTAATGGCTGCCACCAGAGACGCGTGCAAACGCTGACTGCTATTGCCCCTAGATCCTCACTATTCTCATCCTCAACGCCGTTGTCGGAGTTTCGCAAGAAACCAGCGCCGAAAAAGCCATTGCCGCCCTTCAGGAATACTCTGCCAACGAGGCCAAGGTCGTACGCGATGGACACATTGCACGCATCAAAGCCGATGAGCTAGTTCCAGGAGATATCGTTTCGGTCACTATTGGCGACAGGATTCCCGCCGATTGCAGAATCCTTTCTATCCAGAGCAACAGCTTTAATGTCGACCAGTCGATCCTTACGGGAGAGAGCGAAAGTGTGCCAAAAGATACTAGGGCTGTCAAGGACGAGAATTCTGTCAAGCAGGATCAGGTCAACATGCTTTTCTCGGGTACAACGGTCGTTACAGGACATGCAACCGCACTTGTCGTCTTGACTGGCAGCAATACGGCTATTGGAGACATCCACGAGAGCATCACATCCCAGATCTCGCAGCCTACTCCGCTCAAGGAAAAGCTCAACGACTTTGGCGACCAGCTCGCAAAGGTCATTACGGGTATTTGCATTCTGGTCTGGGTCATCAACATTGGCAACTTCAACGACCCGTCTCACGGAAGCTTTGCCAAGGGCGCCATCTACTACCTCAAGATTGCCGTTTCTCTTGGTGTTGCTGCCATTCCCGAAGGTCTTGCCGTCGTCATCACAACATGTCTGGCTCTTGGAACACGCAAAATGGCCGCTAGGAACGCTGTTGTGCGAAGCTTGCCTTCTGTTGAAACCCTCGGAAGCTGCAGTGTCATTTGCTCCGATAAGACCGGTACTCTTACTACAAACCAGATGAGTGTCAGCAAAATGGTCTTCATCAACGACTCTGGTAATGGACTTGAGGAGTTTGATGTTGAAGGTACTAGCTTTGCTCCCGAAGGTCAAATCACGCTCAACAGCAAGCCCATGGACAATCTCGCTGCCAAGTTCGACACTGTACGCCAAATTTGTGAAGTGAGTGCGCTTTGCAACGAGGCTGCTCTCGCCTATGACTCCAAGAACAATGCATACAACCTGGTTGGTGAGCCCACTGAGGGCGCACTTCGTGTCCTTGTTGAGAAGGTTGGTACACCTGACGCTGCCCACAACGCGACCCGTGCGAACACTTTGCCCGAAGACCGTCTCGACTTTGCCACCAAGCACTACGAAAGCCAATACACTCGCCTCGCCACATATGAATTCTCTCGCGATCGTAAGAGCATGTCTGTCTTGGTCAAGAAGGGTGACGCGCAAAGGCTTCTTGTCAAGGGTGCTCCGGAATCTATTCTCGACCGCTGCACAAGTGTTGTCGTTGGCAAGGATGGCAAGAAGGCCCCTATGAGCAGCCAACTAGCCAGCCTTATCACTAAGGAAATTGTCGAATATGGTAATCGCGGTCTTCGAGTCATTGCTGTGGCCTCGGTCGATGACATTGCCTCACACCCCCTCGTTTCCAAGGCCAAGACTACCAAGGAGTACAGCCAGCTTGAACAGAACATGACTCTGATCGGTCTTTGTGCCATGTTGGACCCACCTCGCCCTGAAGTCCATGACTCGATCGCAAAGTGCCGTTCTGCCGGAATCCGTGTTGTGGTCATTACTGGAGACAACCAGAACACTGCTGAGGCCATCTGTCGCGATATTGGTGTCTTTGGACCTAACGAGGATCTTACTGGCAAGTCGTTTACCGGTCGCCAATTTGATGATCTCTCTGAATCTGAGAAGATGGAGGCTGCCAAGAACGCCAGTCTCTTTTCCCGTACTGAGCCTACACACAAGTCCAAACTTGTCGATCTCCTCCAACAGGCTGGTGAAGTCGTCGCCATGACTGGTGACGGTGTCAACGACGCTCCTGCTCTCAAGAAGGCTGATATCGGTGTCGCCATGGGCTCCGGAACTGACGTTGCCAAGCTCGCCGCCGACATGGTTCTCGTAGACGACAACTTTGCTACCATTGAAGGTGCTGTTGAGGAAGGACGCTCCATCTACAACAACACCCAACAGTTTATCCGCTACCTCATCTCCTCCAACATTGGCGAAGTTGTCTCGATTTTCCTCACTGCCGCCATGGGCATGCCCGAAGCTCTGATCCCTGTCCAACTTCTCTGGGTTAACCTCGTCACTGATGGTCTTCCCGCTACAGCCTTGTCCTTCAACCCCGCCGACCACGACATCATGAAGCGTCAGCCCCGCAAGCGTGACGAACCTCTTATCAGCGGCTGGCTCTTCTTCCGCTACATGGTTATTGGCACTTATGTTGGTGCTGCTACTGTTGCTGGTTATGCTTGGTGGTTCATGTTCAACAGCGAGGGACCTCAAATCTCGTTTTACCACCTCCGCCACTTCCACCGCTGCTCTAATCAATTCCCCGAAATCGGCTGTGAGATGTTTAGCAACTCGTCTGCCCAGGCTGCCTCCACTGTCAGCTTGAGCATCCTCGTCGTCATCGAGATGCTGAACGCCATGAACGCACTGAGTAGCTCAGAGAGTCTGCTCACGCTGCCGCTATGGAAGAACATGATTCTCGTCTATGCCATTTGCCTGTCCATGGCTCTGCACTTTGCCCTGCTTTATCTTCCCTTCTTGCAAGGCCTCTTCAACGTTGTCCCGCTTAATGGTAATGAGTGGAAGGCCGTCATGGCGATTAGTGCGCCCATCATGTGAGTTTTGCTTTGAACCTTTGTGAAAAAGATGCTTGCTAACAAACATGACTAGAATAATCGACGAGGTTCTCAAGTTCTTGGAACGCAGCTTCTTTATCCAGAAGGGCAACGAGAAGCTGTATCCTGTTGAGCAGAATGGAAGGCCAAAGAAGGAGTAAAGCGCTCCTTGCACTTGTGCTTTTCCTCTTTCTCTACTCATCACTCTGTGTCTTAAGATGCAGAAAAAAGCATCGAGGAACGTGTTATCCAGTGTACCGTTCTAGAGAATGGCAGAAGCAAAAGGCAAGGTGAGAAGTGTATTTCCGTGATGGTCGGTGGAAACCTTTTTATGTATGTTTTGGTGGTTTCTGCGCTCTCTTTTCTAAACAAACTTTGCGCAGCAGCTATCACACACATGCATGTTGCGATTAGATGGTTAGAACGGTTAGATCTTTGTTGCTATACTACACACAAAACCTCAAGAATGAAAATCTCAGAGATACAAAACTGTTCATGATGGGTTGCGTGGATTTGGTGTGATGTATTGCATCTGTTTGGTCAAGGATATATTAGTCGACGGGTTAGTAACTTGACATAGACGTTGGTGACGGAAATCACATGTAGATTGCAGGATCCTCCTAATATATGTGCAAGCACTAGAAAAGTACAGTAAGTGTTCCTTAATGTGGTATACTCTACTGCAACCAAGCAGTGAAAGCTCTAATTCCAGTGAATCCAACTTTGACATCCGTCCTCGCTTTCACTTTCACTTTCACATAGTCACGTCACCACAATTTTTTCTCACTCCGTCCGTCTGTCCTCTCCCGCATATCCCACCATCCCTCCTTCTCAACCCTGCAGTTTTCATCACTGCAACTGCAACCATGCCGCCTCACGGCCTCTACCCCATCCCGAGGCACCACCTCTCTCCACGAAACAACAAGCTCCAGCACCGCCGCACATTCAACAGCATGTCCTTTGCCGACGCGGAACCCGCGCGCGAGACTACCGCAAAGAGCAAGAGCGAGGCTGCAGCAAAGACCAAAGCAGAGACAGTAGAGCCCGCGAGCGAGGTTGTAGCAAAGACGGCTGAGCAGCGTGCTCAGCGAAAGCTAGAGAAGCGTCAACGCAAGGAAGAGAGGAGGTTGAAGAAGGAGCGCAAGGCACAAGCTAAGCAGCAGAAGCAGCAGCTTGTTGAAGAAGCGAGTGACGTGCCATTTCAGCAACCTGACACCACACCATCCGTGACTCAAGCAGAAACTGCGCCGCAAGCTCACCAATCTGAAGCTACTCCCGTGGCTACTCCAGTAAAGAAAGGACGCTTCGGTCCGCGCGGTCCGTATAAGAAACGCGAGAAGGCAGCTGCCGACGGCACGCCGGTATCTGCAGTCAAACGCAAGAGGGAGAGCAAAGTGCAGACTAGCAGTAGCAAGGACGCAGACGGCGGCATATCGTTGCTTGAACCGAATTTCCTGTCATCGCTAAAGGAAAAGATGGGAGATATGGGTTCTGCATTTCAAGAAGCGGAAAAGGAAGGGGAAGAGCCTGCAAAGAAGAAGAAGAGGGGGCGACCCGTGGGGTGGCGCAAGAATGCTGCTGATGCGGAGTCTGTCAAGACTGAGACTCCGAAAAGTGGTGGTAAGAGTGCTGCTGCTGCCCCGACACCGGCGTCTACTACGAAGAGTACTGTTTCCTCAACACCAGCATCTACTAGACTCTCTGGCTCGATTCTCGATAAGTCGTTCAAGGTAACCAAGACTCCTGTGCCGGTTCCCTCAGTTGCATCGACACCGGCATCTACTAAAGTGGCTGGCTCAACTCTCGACATGTTGTTGAAAGTGACCAAGACGCCCGTACCAGTTCCGGTTCCATCGGGTGCGTCGAGTGTGTCTGCTTGCGCAAAGTCACCGGTTCCGGTGCTGCGGAAACCCAGTCTCAGCACCAGTGACAGTATGAGTGAGCTACAGACAAGCAAGACGGCTAAAGTTGATCAAGCTGACGTTCTCGTCGCCGAGACACCTCCCTCACGCATGGGCAAAACGCCAGTCACAACACCTCGTCAGCCCGCCATTCCATTTCCTCATCTCAGGCGCTTATTCTCCGCCAGCGAATCACCCATGGTGAGGGGAAAAGATACCACCATCGACCTTACTTCCCCCGAGGAACCCACACCAAAAGCGAATACATCCGCAAAGCATGTCATCAGCAGCCAGGGCTCAATCAACCCCCTAACCAGCAGTCAAGCCTCCATGGACTCCGTTCCAAACACCCACCCTCCGGCCTTCTCCGCATCTACCCTTGCCTACTACAAACAACAGCTAAACGAAAACCCCAAAGCGCGACCCCGCCGCCATCAACGCGCCATCTCCGAAGCCCTTAGTTCAAGCAGTGACTCAACCTCGACCACACAGAGCGTGCTCAACATGCTAACTCGGGTCCCAAAACCCTACGGGTCCAAATTGGACAACCCCTTCTCCTCGTCCAAAAAGAAGAAGAATAAGTACAACAAGGGCGACGAGCAGCACGAAGAAGCCGACAGCGAGACCTTTACCAAAGCCTTCAAAGTCATCCAGCGAACCGTGAATTTCAGCGATGAACAAGAGTACCTAGCCTTGTACCAAAAGATCGTCGAGCAAAGCAAAAAGGCCTCACTTCCATGCTTGAAAAGCGCAACGGGCTGTTCCTTCCGCATCCACGATCCCGCCTGTTCCTTTTTTTCGCCTACCAGTGCACTCGAGCAGCCAAGCGCAGATATGCTGGATTCGACTCAGCGCGCAGAAGCTGCAGAGACGTTTCTCCGCCACGCACTCATGGCGCGGGTGCCTGTTCCGCTGGGCCGCATTACAGGCGTTTGGCGCTTGTACTGCAAAGAATATACGGGACAGCATGTAGACAAGTACAGTTCGGGTATGCGTACGCTGACGATTACGTCGCCGTCGTCGTATCAGGGGACGCCAGTGTACACGGCGCGTTTGCACATTCCGCCGCGGTCCATGGCATTTGCCATTGCGCCGTTTGCGGCACCGCCGCATGCCGGGTTCCGCGCTACGAGGATGAAGCTCGTGCAGGAGGGGTATACGATGGACATGGTATTTTTCGGAAATGGGTATGCGAGGGTTAGAGCGGAGGTGGGGTTGTTGCTCTCCGGGAAGCATGGCGCGGGTGGGCAGGTGGAGAGTGCGGGTAAGAATAAGGGATATGGTATTTGGCACTTTCTTGCTGTGCATGAAAGGCCGCTTTACTGGGAGCCTCAAGTCGATGAGTTGGAAGTTGAGGGGAGGAAGCTGTTTGCTGCGTATGATGGTACCGAGTAAGTGAGACGGATCGGGGTGTTGGGTTTGGAAGGTTCTGTAGGATGGGGATGGTGATTGGG